TATATAGATATATATGCATTTTAAGTTGCTTTCTCTGCCTATTTAAATATATACAGTTACAAAAAGTGCCTACAACTTTTACATATTTATCCATGAATACCCTGTTGTTGTGCCCCCTTCTCCCCCTAACCTAAATTATCCCATCCTACCCCTCCACAGATCCGTACTTACCGAGATCCGACAGACATGGTTTTTGCTACCCCACACCAGGATTCTCCCTCTGCTGGCCATACCTGAACATTACAGCCCCATAGACTTCTATAAGACTGTCTCCTGTCTTGGAGACGAACATGGCCAGGAGAGGGAGACTTGAAGCTCTAAATGACAACAATCAGCGGAACTTGGATGTCGACAACTACAGATCTGTAGAGGGCAAGGGTGGGATCATAGAGGCCAGGGGAGTGTGGCAAAAAGAAAAAGTGCACTGTGTCTAAAAGTGCACTTACTCTTTAATACAAAGGAACATTTTTAAAAACAACAGAAGCCTCTTTATTTTTGCATTGCTTGTCATTTATTATCATAGTATTATGGAAAATTCATGCAGCAGAAAGGGGCAGGGAACAGGTGGGGTGCAAAAAGCAGATTGGGTACAAACAAGGTACAGTGCAAAGTATGAAGTCTCAACGTCTGCATATGAAAGGAAGTTTGGCGCAGCAATTGACAGAAATCCATTGTCCAGCTGAGTGAGGAAAGAAAGAAGAGAGATGTTAAAACGATATTTAGGTGGGAAAGATAATTGAATATGAAGGGGCAATCTGTAAGAACATTTTTTATTCCTTAATGATGAACCATACCCTACTGCATTCGAAAAAAATAACATTTTATACATATACACACACACACACACACACACACACACACACACACACACACATATACACACACACACTGTATCCAGATGTAAATTGAGCTGCACAGGGGGTGGCAGGAGGCAGGTTTAAGACAGCCTGGGCACAGAGGAAGTGGATTGGATAATGGTGAACATCGTGAAATGTGAAAGAATTGTTGCAAAAGATAGCAACACGTCAGCAAAGACTGTTTCTTTAAATGTCTATTTGTATTAATGTATTTTTTTCCCAGTAGCAATTACTTTTACTTTACTCCATCACATGTCTGTTCTGCTAATGGGAGGCAGGAGAGGAAGACCGGTGTATGGTCCAGATTCCTTGAGTCAGAGCTATGGACCTATGGACTTTACCTGTACCCATGTGACAACATTGGACCAAAGCATCGGCACTGTCACCAGGGCCGGATTTACTCTCTCTGCTGCCCCAATGCCAGGTTCCTCATTGCACCCCCCTTCCCGGTGG